GCAAGAAACTGGACGAAAAGGCCATCAAAATTACGTTTGTTGGCTATTCAGGAGAACATAAAGCCTACAGGATGCTCAACCTTGCAACCGGCCAAATCCAGATAAGCCGTGACGTTCGGTTCTTGGAGATCGAAAATGGATCGAAGGTTGAAGACAAACATCGGAAGAAAACGGAAGACAAGACGCCGCCCGCTGAATGTGAAGAAGTGGAGTGGACAGTGAGCGAAATTCCGAAAGCGACAGTGGCACCGGATGCATTGGAGTCTAGCGATTCGGAGTCTGGCGATTCGGAGTTAAGCGATTCGGACGATGAGTTCTTCGGCTGGGAGAACGACGATGCTGCTTGGCTGCAAGTTTTTCGGTTCAGGCGTTACGAGAGTCGCGATGCTTGTGATGATGATGACCAAATGGATCCTGTAGCAGAAGAAGAAGTGGCACCACCTCCGGTTCGACGTTCGCAGAGAGTGACCGCTGGTGTGCCGCCGGTCAGATATGCAGAAGGAGCAAACTTGGTGCAGCACAGTGCAGCAGAGCCAAAAACGTACCGTGAAGCTGTTTCTAGTCCCCAGAGCGCCGAGTGGAAATCGGCCATGGACGACGAAATGCGATCGCACCAGGAGAATTGCACATGGGAACTAGTGGAGTTGCCCCCACACCGTAAACCGATCGGATGCAAATGGGTGTATAAGTGCAAAAGTGATCAAAACGGCAACCTTGTGCGGTATAAGGCGCGACTTGTAGCGCAAGGGTTTCGCCAAAAATTCGGGACCGACTACGACCAAGTCTTCGCACCAGTTGTCCAGCAGATCACGTTCCGGACGATGCTGACCATCGCGAGTCGGAGGAAGATGTTGGCCAAGCAGATCGACATCAAAACCGCATACCTCTACGGGCAGCTTCAGGAGGAGCTGTATATGCGGCAACCGCCGGGCTATGAAAGCGAGGATCGAAAGCTGGTTTGCCGGTTGAAGCGCAGCTTGTATGGGCTCAAACAGGCCGCCCATGTCTGGAATAAACGGATCGACGAGGTACTTAAGCTGATGGGCTTTCATCAATCGAAGGCTGACCCTTGCCTTTACGTTCGGGAGCGATCAGGCAAGTACATATTTTTGTTGATTTACGTCGATGACGTCATTGTTATTTGCGCTACGGAGGATGAGTTCGAAGGGGTGGTTCAGAGCCTGGCCAGTGAATTCAAGATTACCGTTATGGGCAACTTGACCTTCTTTCTCGGTATCCAAATTCGACTGGAGAACGGACAGTATCGCATTAACCAAAAGGCCTACCTGAATCGTGTTCTAGAACGGTTCAGAATGCAGGATGCGAAAATTTCGAAAATTCCTATGGATCCCGGCTTCCTCAAACAAACGGAGGAGAATACCAACCGACTCAAAACTGCAGAGCATTATCAAAGTCTCGTAGGAGCTTTGTTATACGCAGCCGTAATCTCAAGGCCGGATATATCGATCGCAACCTCGATTCTCGGTCGGCGTGTTACGGCACCAACGGAAGCAGACTGGAACGAAGCTAAACGGGTGCTACGTTACCTTAAGGGCACGATCGATATGGAGCTATGTCTGGGACACGATGACCGGACGCTGGAATGCTTCGTAGACGCCGATTGGGCCGGTGACGTCAGCGACCGGAAGTCCAGTTCGGGTTATTTTTTCAAGTTCGGCGGTGGCATTATTGGATGGGGATGCCATAAACAGAAGTGTGTGGCCCTTTCGAGCACCGAGGCCGAATATATCGCGTTAGCAGAGTGCCTACAGCAGGTGCAATGGATCAGGAAGCTGATGTTGGACATTGGTGAGAAGCTGGATTTTCCGATTGTAGTTCAAGAAGATAATCAGAGCTGCATTGCTTTGACTCTGGGTGACCGTACGGAGAAGAAAGCTAAACACATCGATACGAAGTACAATTACATCAAGGATATGGTTCGTGAAGGTATTGTGCGTCTTCAGTATTGTCCGACAGAGCATATGCAGGCTGACCTGCTGACGAAGCCGCTGCAAGCAACCAAACTACGACAGCTGAGAGAGGCGATTGGCATCCGGCCATTCAACGTTGAGAAGGAGTGTTGAACCCCTCGGTTCATACAGCAACGCTTCATTTCTATCTGCCAATCTGGCAACTCTTTCTTATTTGACAGAACTACTTCCGCTGTAACGATCAACTGAATAAAAAATCATTCTTTCTTGTACCGAGCACTTAACAAATGTGTTTGCGTATTACTTCACTGAGCCTCCGATTCCAGTTATTAAAGGTTAACCTCCAATACTTTCTATGTGTACTCACACTATCATAGCATGCTGCCTATCTTAACTGCAGGCAGAAGATGCCTTCTACCGCTAGGTGCGCTAGTGTTCGCAAATGACAAGTGGAGCCACTTTCTGATCCAAAGTTCCACTCCTGTGCCTTGGGATATTTTAACTGTAATGACGAAACGGAGTTGTTCGTGGACGCCTCACCGCATGGGCTAGGCAGCAGTTTTGGTCCAGTATTGTGCTGATTCTAGACCGCGAATAATTGCTTGTGCATCAAAATCGTTAACACTGGCTGAGAGGAAATACCCACAAACTCAGAAAGAGGCCCTTGCAATGGTATGGGGTGTTGAGCGCTTCTCTGTATACCTTTTGAACATATGCTTCACAATTCGGACGGATGCGGAATCAAACGAATTCATCTTCGGAGGAATGCATAGAATCGGCAAAAGAGCAGTCTCAAGGGCTGAGGCATGGGCATTAAGGCTGCAACTCTATAACTTCAAGGTAGGTTGTGAGTTAATGTTGTTTGGCTTATATTAATAGCTGTGTTGCTTATAGGTTGCTCGAGTTCCAGGAGAAGCAAACGTGGCGGATGCACTATCCCGTTTACTAAAGGAATCCCAATCCGAGTTCGACGAAACCACCGACAAACATCTGTTGTATTTTTTTGAATACCGGTACAATGGAATTCACCTGGAATGATATCGAGATTGATCGGATACGTGAAGCAATAAATACAAGCCACTGGGATAAAACCTTGAGATGATACGAATCAGAAGCGAAGAACCTAAGAGTACTCGGTGCCTTAGTTTTCATTAATGAACGAGTGATTCTGCCTTATTCACTTCGTGACAGAGCGCTCGCTTCCGCACAGTAACAACGGTCCACCTCTCCAAGGTGAAAAATTCGTCAAGACATGGCAGGACAAAGGTGTCAACATTCGGTATTGGTTTTGTTAAGTGCCCAATCAAATGGAGCTGTGGAGTGCCAAAATAAAGGATTAAAGGATGCCTTGACTGCCGCGAAACTGGATAACGTCGAGTAGGATGATGCCCAGTTACGACATCATCTACCTTGGTATCACCTTTGATAGCAAGTTACTGTTCCCATGTGGACAAAACATCCATCAAGTGCAACATCTTGATTAGGTTGCTCTATAAACTTATAAACAGAAAGTCCACCCTTTCTCTTAAAAACAAGCTTGCCGTCCACAAATAAATCCTCCCCGCCATTGAGTACGGATCACTATTGTAATAATTTATTGAGAATGCGACTCGACCGTTTGACGTTCAATAACAGAATGAAGAAATTTATTTTGTCGATAGGAGTCATGGCGTACTATTCTAATAAACACCAATCTGGGAGAGCTGTCCTAAGTGCCATCACCTCAAGCTCCAAAGGATCCAGGGCAAGATCCTTAGGATGATCCTCAACAGTTCCACGCGGACTCTAAATTCTGAGATCCATTGCCTGGCTGATCTTCAGTCATTGGAGGAGCGGAGTACGCTCATCCTCGAAAGGTTCAGAGATGCCTGTCTGAGATCAAATCACGAGATCACACGCGATCTTGCTAATTCGATTAAATTATTGGTAGTTAGGAAGTTATTCAATTTATTTTTCAATTAAATTAAAACGCAGGGGGTATTCTGTAAACTAGTTAAAAAGCGTGATTTTACTACTACTACTACTATCGTTGACTCATTATTATGACGTACTATGAGCAGCAGCAGCAACAAATCGCTCTTGCGATCACAGTAGGCACTGAGGAATACAAATCTCTGGTCACGTCTTCCTTCGGAAGGGAAGCAAAGCCGTTGGTCCCGGCCCATGTGTGTTTGAATGGGTGGCGATATCGTACGAAGGTGTGGAAGCTGCCTTCCTGCACATTCGATTGTCGTCAATGGATGGCAATCGATGTCCGTCGGTGATTGGCACTAGATTGCGGAACAGTGCCCGACGTTAAATAAAGGAATGAAGATCACAGTATGCCGCATACTGCCGGTGCAAGCTGATTAAGAACCTGAAGCGCACGAATCAGCAACAGGGGGTGGATTCCTCCGCCTCGATTCACGACAAAACCACGAAATTTGTCCTCCAGAAATTGGACATTTCCTGTACATCGATATTCTCTCTATCTCAATCGTTCTCTTTGCCGTTATTCTCCCTATGTCGATGGAAAAAAATCTAGTTCACTAGTTCCACAAGGTCCAATCTTCATCGAACTACCACGGCTATGCAAACAGATTTCGCTTTTTTGCAGGAATAACTTGCAATGCGTAATCGAGTTCTAACGAAATGTATCAATCCAACGTCATTTCAGAAGCATGATAACAAATTGAATTGCTTTCGGCGGACGTGTCAAAACAAGCGTAAGCGTAATACAACGAGTCGTCCGACAGGTCAAAATATTGGCACAGAATGTGTGGCCAACTCACAGATAGCAGCAGCAACAGCTTTGTTTTTTTTCAGTTAAAAGCGATCCACTACTTCCATATAAGTACTCAACCGCAATTGCCGCTAAATGGCGAAGACGTAAACATCCCTATTTTATGAGGCAGCAAGAATCAGAACGTTGATAAACAAACATGCGAAAAGTCGTCGGTACGACTGCAAGGCGGCCCTTCCGCCATCTTGGCCCCATAGCTCAGTTGGTTAGAGCGTCGTGCTAATAACGCGAAGGTCGTGAGTTCGATCCTCTCTGGAGCCAAATATATATATATTTTTTTTACTCACCGTTTTCTGTAGCAACTTGATGACCGACCGTTTGCAGAACTTGATCCGATCGAGCAGGTCCGACGACTTGGCCACCATATAGACCGCCGACAGGATGACGCCGACAATCTTCTCCGAGCCGGAGTAGGACTCGAACAGGAAAATCAACCACGGTTGAATGGGGGCCGCTGCGCGGTACAGCTGAGAGAGCGATTCCGTCATCAGATAGATTTTTCCCTATGGGGCGAACAAATTTAGATGGTTAGTATTGAAACAGGTGGTTGATTGATCGGGGGGGAAACTTACTCGGCTCTTGTACTCAATTACGCTGGGTGGCATCAGAGTGATGACGATCTTGACAATGATGGTGAGTAGTTTCAGCACCAGATCGGACATGCACACGGAAAACAGGAGGGACTTGAGACTTTGCGGCTCGGATAGGTCCGGCATGAACATGATGCTGAGGAAGATGTTCTTCCGTTCCAGGACGAAGCCGACGACGGCCAGGGCGACTCCGATGAAGATCAGCTCGCGCAACAGGACCACCATCCGCTTCTGGGCTTGTTTGGAGATCTCCTGCCGGACGACCCAGTTTGCGTGGGAGAAGGTCATAAGCAGAGCGAGGAAGTGGATGATGCCATCCAGATGGTCGTAGCAGAGCTTCGTGATCAGGATGAAGAGCAGCGGGATGTACCGGGCGAAGGTGTCCATCATGGCGCGCGCTTCCGGTATCTGGTTCAAGGCTTCGTGAACCGTAGCCTCATCGTTTGGCTGATTGGAGCTGACACTGTTGCTGCGGGTGCCATTGTTTGGGTTCGGATTGGTAGGTGAGGCCGGCCGCTGAGCTGAGTCACCAGCAGAACCACCGATAGCGGCGCCGGGAGCTCCGAGAGAAGCCGGTTGGCTCTGTTGAGCCGATTGGGCTTGGTGAAGAAGCGACGGTTGTGGGTGTGCAAGGTGCTGATGGTGGTGGATAGTGGACAGCGGTTGATGGTTGTGGAAATGATGATGATGATGGTGATAATTGAAGTTCGGCATGATTGAAGAACGTCCCGCAGCGGATTCGTCATCTCCGGCGGTGGTCGGTATCCAGGAGTTTGGTCGGATGCCACTGGTGATCGATGAGGATGTGGAAATCGGATAGATTTCATTGTTTGACGAACGGAGTGATGGTCCGGTGGCGTTGTCAAGATCGATAACTACATCGGTTGGATTGCCGGTAGTAGCAAGACCGATTGGCGGGGAGCTGTTTCCTGACATTTGGGATACAGCGCGGCCCGATTGCAGAAACAATGATCGCCTTTCCGACGAGAACAGACTGTTCGGGTTGCGTGCTTGCTGCACGAAGGCAAAAATGTCATTCAACAGATTATTGCTTAGGTTTCCTGAGACACGTGCTTGTTCGTTGCCGACTGCTCGGCGATCGCTTCCAGTTGATAGGATTCTGGCAAACGGGACTCGTCCGTTGAACGAATTCCGGAAGCCGGAGCCGCTGTTGTTACTGTTCGACATGCTTCCTTCGGCAGAACTGACCGAGGTTTGTCGCTCTACGGCGATCGGAATCGATGGTTGGTGGACTGTTGCCGTAATCGTACACTGTACCGGAATCGACGCAGTTCCTGCTGCAGTTGTGGAACTGTTTGTCGTTGGAATTGGATACTCGATGACGGAAACCGTGACCGCTGGAATGTTGCTGGTTGTGCTGCTGGAATCTTCCTCTGTGGCTAGCGGCGGCTTGCCGTGATCGGCAAACGTCAAAGTGGTGGAGGTGGTTTCGATGATTGCTGGCGAATCGGTTGAAGATGCTGCTGCCGTTGTTGTTGTTGCTATTTTTGTTGTTGCTGATGCTGGTTCTACGGGTGGTGCTGCTGCTGCTGCTGCTGGTGGTGGTGATTGCGATGAAGACTCAGTACTCGAGCTCGAATGCTGCTGCGGCTCGGGATTGGTATCGGACATCTTACGCGCGTTGCTGTTTGAAGAGGTGCAGTTCTGGTTTAAACGGCTCTGATGCTAAGCATTCTTGTTAGCTGCATCAAGGTAAGTCGCATTCGCTATATCGATATCATAGTAGAGGGTTCTGAAAATCGGGAAACAACAATTACAAATTCTGTCAATTCTGTCAACCCTGTCAATGTTTTGGATAGCAATAAACAAATTTTAACAATGCCTTCTTACGTTACATAAAATTTGTTTACATCCAAAAAATAATCAGCGATATTTACGTTAATTCACGTAAACACACCACAATTGCCCCACATGAAACGCACTTCGGAGTATCGAAGGTGAAAGTTTTTATTTTTATAAGCGTGCCTGCTGCTATCGAATTCATCGTATGAACCAGTTTCGGAAGCTACATAGACCAGTGCGAAGACTGGCTAGCGTTGATAAGATAATCTATGTAAATAGGCATTATTTCCATTTTTATTTGTGAAGTGGACTATGACATCATCACATCTGTACAGCTCCTCAGAGCAAGCAGCGGAGAGTCCACCTGTCAAAACACAGCCATGACAGTTCGGCCATTACGGAGATGAAAATTTCATCAATAATGACGAAATTTCACAAAAAGACTCAACTCTGGTCAGATTCGGGATTAGTAATGGCACACTGCCTCACCTATCACCCCGAAGTGAATGTCGCAGTTTCAAAAAGAGCCCAGTGGTGACGAAGGTCATTTCCCCGTCGTACACCAATGAATGCAGGAATGTGTTATGTCTGCAGATAATAAATATTCCCCATTTCGGACTTTTATGCTGAGCTAAGCAAGAAAAATGTACGAGAGGCCCCGTCATCATCACCCATCCAATATACACACAACACAACAGTCAACCATTGAAACGCACCCTGTTTTTTTTTTTCTAGTCACTTCCACGGATCACCTGCCACCTAGAGAACACCCAACTGATCTCTTATCAACAACAAAAAAAGCCTAATCTAATGATAAAGTGGCTCGAAAGGGAACAGAACTGAAAACGGCCTAGAAACGGTACTAAATTTGCACTGAAAATTTCAAGTTTTTCGTGTAAAATTTGACACCATGATCCAACTTTGTCTTCCTGCTACCTACTCTCTGCTGCGCTCTAACTGACTGGACGACTGACTAATCATGGCACACCACACTCTTTGGCCGTATGCTCGTCGTCCGATTCTCCTCTCCCAAGCGGGCTCACATGCTTTCTCACTCACACGGTTGCAGAATTAAGATAATATTGGTTAGGAAACGTAAACAGTTTGTGTAAAAACAATGTGCGTTGATAGGTAGCTCAAAGTGGTCGGTTGATGCTATAAAACATATCTAAATAAAATGAATTTAAGTTTGCAGTTAAGTGCAATTTCCTCCTGATTGATTGAGATTTGAATTTACCTCTGTAACTGTTTTTTATTATGTAACTTTCCATTCAAAACATGAGTATTTTTTATCGCAGTGTTATGTGTTATGGTAAAACATTTTCCATTTGCTGTAAGTTGCTGTAATATAATCATGCTGCAAGAAAGTACAGGAACTTTCTCATACGGTTTCAACCGCGATTAGATGATCGAAATTTTCATACCCGGTTTTCCCAGTATATAATATTTCATAAACTTTTTTTCGGAATCTTCAAATCGATTTATCTCCGTAAATATGGCTCTAATTGCGAAAAGAGGAGTATTCAGGTATATAATATTCCAAAATCCTTTATTTATCGGCTGGTGGGCCTTCCAAACCTTTAAATCGATTTATCTCCGTAAATATGGCTCTAATCGCGAAAAGAGGGGTGTTCAGATGGTCGAAATTTTCATACTACGATTTTTCAGTATATAATATTCCAAAATCCTTTATTTATCGGCTGGTGGGCCTTCCAAACCTTTAAATCGATTTATCTCCGTAAATAAGGCTCTAATCGCGAAAAGAGGGGTGTTCAGATGGTCGAAATTTTCATACTCGGATTTTTCGGTATATTATATTCCAAAATCCTTTATTTATCGGCTGGTGGGCCTTCCAAACCTTTAAATCGATTTATCTCCTTAAATATGGCTCTAATCGCGAAAAGAAGGGTGTTCAGATGGTCGAAATTTTCATACCCGGATTTCTCAGTATATAATATTCCAAAATCCTTTATTTATCGGCTGGTGGGCCTTCCAAACCTTTAAATCGATTTATCTCCGTAAATATGGCTCTAATTGCGAAAAGAGGGGTGTTCAGATGGTCGAAATTTTCATACTCCGATTTTTCGGTATATTATATTCCAAAATCCTTTATTTATCGGCTGGTGGGCCTTCCAAACCTTTAAATCGATTTATCTCCTTAAATATGGCTCTAATCGCGAAAAGAGGGGTGTTCAGATGGTCGAAATTTTCATACCCGGATTTCTCAGTATATAATATTCCAAAATCCTTTATTTATCGGCTGGTGGGCCTTCCAAACCTTTAAATCGATTTATCTCCGTAAATATGGCTCTAATTGCGAAAAGAGGGGTGTTCAGATGGTCGAAATTTTCATACTCCGATTTTTCGGTATATTATATTCCAAAATCCTTTATTTATCGGCTGGTGGGCCTTCCAAACCTTTAAATCGATTTATCTCCTTAAATATGGCTCTAATCGCGAAAAGAGGGGTGTTCAGATGGTCGAAATTTTCATACCCGGATTTCTCAGTATATAATATTCCAAAATCCTTTATTTATTGGCTGGTGGGCTTTCCAAACCTTTAAATCGATTTATCTCCTTAAATATGGCTCTAATCGCGAAAAGAGGGGTGTTCAGATGGTCGAAATTTTCATACCCGGATTTCTCAGTATATAATATTCCAAAATCCTTTATTTATCGGCTGGTGGGCCTTCCAAACCTTTAAATCGATTTATCTCCGTAAATAAGGCTCTAATCGCGAAAAGAGGGGTGTTCAGATGGTCGAAATTTTCATACTCGGATTTTTCGGTATATTATATTCCAAAATCCTTTATTTATCGGCTGGTGGGCCTTCCAAACCTTTAAATCGATTTATCTCCTTAAATATGGCTCTAATCGCGAAAAGAAGGGTGTTCAGATGGTCGAAATTTTCATACCCGGATTTCTCAGTATATAATATTCCAAAATCCTTTATTTATCGGCTGGTGGGCCTTCCAAACCTTTAAATCGATTTATCTCCGTAAATATGGCTCTAATTGCGAAAAGAGGGGTGTTCAGATGGTCGAAATTTTCATACTCCGATTTTTCGGTATATTATATTCCAAAATCCTTTATTTATCGGCTGGTGGGCCTTCCAAACCTTTAAATCGATTTATCTCCTTAAATATGGCTCTAATCGCGAAAAGAGGGGTGTTCAGATGGTCGAAATTTTCATACCCGGATTTCTCAGTATATAATATTCCAAAATCCTTTATTTATCGGCTGGTGGGCCTTCCAAACCTTTAAATCGATTTATCTCCGTAAATATGGCTCTAATTGCGAAAAGAGGGGTGTTCAGATGGTCGAAATTTTCATACTCCGATTTTTCGGTATATTATATTCCAAAATCCTTTATTTATCGGCTGGTGGGCCTTCCAAACCTTTAAATCGATTTATCTCCTTAAATATGGCTCTAATCGCGAAAAGAGGGGTGTTCAGATGGTCGAAATTTTCATACCCGGATTTCTCAGCATATAATATTCCAAAATCCTTTATTTATCGGCTGGTGAGCCTTCCAAACCTTCAAATCGATTTATCTAAGTAAATATGGCTCTAATCGCGAAAAGAGGGGTGTTCAGACGGTCGAAATTTTCATACCCGGATTTCTCAGTATATAATATTCCAAAATCCTTTATTTATCGGCTGGTGGGCTTTCCAAACCTTTAAATCGATTTATCTCCTTAAATATGGCTCTAATCGCGAAAAGAGGGGTGTTCAGATGGTCGAAATTTTCATACCCGGATTTCTCAGTATATAATATTCCAAAATCCTTTATTTATCGGCTGGTGGGCCTTCCAAACCTTTAAATCGATTTATCTCCGTAAATAAGGCTCTAATCGCGAAAAGAGGGGTGTTCAGATGGTCGAAATTTTCATACCCGGATTTCTCAGTATATAATATTCCAAAATCCTTTATTTATTGGCTGGTGGGCCTTCCAAACCTTTAAATCGATTTATCTCCTTAAATATGGCTCTAATCGCGAAAAGAGGGGTGTTCAGATGGTCGAAATTTTCATACCCGGATTTCTCAGTATATAATATTCCAAAATCCTTTATTTATCGGCTGGTGGGCCTTCCAAACCTTTAAATCGATTTATCTCCGTAAATAAGGCTCTAATCGCGAAAAGAGGGGTGTTCAGATGGTCGAAATTTTCATACCCGGATTTCTCAGTATATAATATTCCAAAATCCTTTATTTATTGGCTGGTGGGCTTTCCAAACCTTTAAATCGATTTATCTCCTTAAATATGGCTCTAATCGCGAAAAGAGGGGTGTTCAGATGGTCGAAATTTTCATACCCGGATTTCTCAGTATATAATATTCCAAAATCCTTTATTTATCGGCTGGTGGGCCTTCCAAACCTTTAAATCGATTTATCTCCGTAAATATGGCTCTAATCGCGAAAAGAGGGGTGTTCAGATGGTCGAAATTTTCATACTCCGATTTTTCAGTATATAATATTCCAAAATCCTTTATTTATCGGCTGGTGGGCCTTCCAAACCTTTAAATCGATTTATCTCCGTAAATAAGGCTCTAATCGCGAAAAGAGGGGTGTTCAGATGGTCGAAATTTTCATACTCGGATTTTTCGGTATATTATATTCCAAAATCCTTTATTTATCGGCTGGTGGGCCTTCCAAACCTTTAAATCGATTTATCTCCTTAAATATGGCTCTAATCGCGAAAAGAAGGGTGTTCAGATGGTCGAAATTTTCATACCCGGATTTCTCAGTATATAATATTCCAAAATCCTTTATTTATCGGCTGGTGGGCCTTCCAAACCTTTAAATCGATTTATCTCCGTAAATATGGCTCTAATTGCGAAAAGAGGGGTGTTCAGATGGTCGAAATTTTCATACTCCGATTTTTCGGTATATTATATTCCAAAATCCTTTATTTATCGGCTGGTGGGCCTTCCAAACCTTTAAATCGAT